AGCAAAAAAACTTTATATATATATATATATATATAAACCCTAAATGGAAAGTCGTGACTTAGAAGATGTCTTCGTCGTTCTCGTCCTTCTTCCGATCATTTACAAAAATTTCAACATCTTGCTTACTTCATGTGTCTAACGAACAAGCATAAGTATCCTGAGACTTCTCAATTGATCCATCTGTAGAAACGTACTGCTGCACTACCAAAACTGATGCATGCAAAGCGAAGTTGGATGATCCCAATGTATCTCCTATTGGTCCTAACTCAGGACAACTGCCCCAACCCGACAGTCCTGAAGTAACTGGAGACTTGAGTGCTCCTTGCCTTCTTCCTGTTACATACAAATCATACACATCTCCCATTGCTCTGATTGCTGCTATCGTTTCTTCTCCGTTATTCACAACCTTGTCAATAAAGTTTATCTAGTTATCGTTCATTGACTTGAACTTGAATTCCTCTATGTACTTATCGTCAACCTGTTTTTCCCTGTCGATTACAGCCTTAATGTCGTCGTTGTTCTCTATATTCAATTTCACTGCATCTTTTCCTGGAAGAAATCTTCCCACGGTTAAACTTACATTGAGGTTTCCTGCCATCCTCCAAGCATAGGCTAATGCCTCTCTGTCATCAAGACCCCCTATATATAACATGGCAATTTATCGTAAGAAGTTTCCAGAAAAGCTGATTTGTGATTGTGAATCAAGTTGTTTCAAGCCTATCTCTCAATCAACCAAAATACCTGCGGAACATGGTGCATTCATCAATACTTGCGGTTCACATCAGCGATATTAGAGTTGCCATTTCCCATTCTACCATCATGTTTCAGTTGCTTATGAAATGGAATGATGATGAGATTGACACATTTGTCCTCCGCAAGACTACAGATATCCATGTGCGTGGTGGTGTAAGGGGATAACGCCGTCATTGTTTGAACTGTTACTGCATTGTTTATCTTCTCAAAATTTTGAAATGCACGAATAATATGGCTCGTCTCTGTTTTTGCACGACCACATCCGTTTCCACCAACCTTGTACACGTCATGCTTGATCAGCATTGAGGTTCTGGCTGGTCCCGAGAGTTCCAAAAGATGACTAGCAAAGATGTAGAGAGGAGATTGTTCATTGGCATGAGAAAGCTGAAGGAGACTAAGGGTTCCCATTACATTGCGCATAGAGTGGACACATGCAAGGATTCGGAACTCTGAGTATGGGTCTGTTCTTTGAATGGTCCTGTTGTTGTGTTCTATAATATTCCTTGTGGGCTTGTAAGCGAATGCGATGATTGCCTCTATCAGACACGACATTAAAAGTAGTGTAAGAACTATTAAAGGAAAGGACTGGTTGTTTAGAGCCTGGTAAGACATGATGGACACACAAACAGAAGATGTAATTTGCAATTTGTTGAATCCAAAACTATTATCAATCCTTGCTATGTCATAAAAAAAAAAAAAAAAAAAAACTAGTAGTAATAAAATTGGAATTGAGACAAGTGATACCTTTATGTTTCGGCCTGTATTGAGGATTATGAGTGCCAACACACCTTTAGTGTTCATAAGCAAACCGAGAGCCAGACCTTCTTGAGTTGACATGTTGTAAAGAAACAAGGAAAACGCTCACAACTTTGGCTGCGCAAGACAAAACAATGACTAGCAACACCATCGTCCAAGCAGTTTCAGCCAGCATAAATCGCATATCAGCTCGTAGTCCACTGATTAAGAAGAAGAGAGGCAGCAAGACCCCTGCCACAAAATCATTAAGTTTCTCTAAAATCTTGCTTCTAATGATGTCCCCTTGTGGCATGATAACCCCAAACATGAAAGCACCAACAATAGAATGCGAGCCACAAGCATCCGTGATGAATCCACATAGCACAATCCCCGCTAGGACAAACCATACATGGCTCTCAGTGACATTCTTTTCACCTCTTGAAATTTGGTTAATTAACCAAGAAACAATTGGACGGAGCACATATATGCATATTAGCAAGAAAGCACTGGTCGAAAGCATGGTGCCGTATTTATGTTCATTAAACATTGATATTGCAACTATAAGAAGAATCCATGAGCACAAATCGCTAATAATGGCTGAACTCATAGCTATTCTTCCGATGTTGGAGCGGAGAAGCTTGAGGTCTGCAAGAATTCGAGCAAGATCCGGAAAGTTTGTTGATGTCAGAGAAATAGCCCACCAAAACATGGAACCCCTTCTATCAAAATCTTTGGAGTTGTTTAGTACTGTGAAATACAAGCCAAAACCAAGAAAAAGCGGGAACAAAATCCCGGCAATGGCAACACTTAGGGATTGAGTCCCAGAATTAAAGATAAGGGAAAATTCCATCTCTAATCCAACAAAAAACATGTACTACACAAGGGCCAAGTTTGCAAATGTCTCAACCACCATTATTGTTTTATGAGGGATGAGATACTTAATAGAGAATTGACTTTCCCCAAACACGGTTGGGCCAAGCAACACACCACACTGCATGCACATGGAAACCAATATGATTAATTAATTAATGCATTTCCTTCATATGAAAATTGTTAATTATTGTACTCACGATGATGTGGGCTACAATCCGAAGCTGGCGTAAAGGCCTGAGAATGAGTATAAGCAGGCGATCAACGAAAAGTTGTGTTAGCAAGTAAGGCAAAGAAGTATTCAAGGCGCCTTCGTTTTGCCATAAAGGATTAATGCTTGAATTTGTATAATAGCAGGCTTCCACCAAGTCGTTTGATTTCCTTATCTCGTAATGATCTTCAGCAGCACTCATGTTTATGCTCTTTGCATCGATATATCTTCGTTTAGATCTCTCTAATGTCAATTAGGGATATGCAAAGTTGAACAGCAATGAAGTAAATTAAACAACAACGAAAATATCGTCAATTTACTACCATTAATGTATACGGCTTGCCGATATATTTGGCATTGGCTAGCTGTTTTCCTTCAGTATCGGATATGTTTGCCCCCTGGGTTGCTTTCGTTTACGTGTACACCTATTTCATTTTCATTTGTCACATTTATTATATTAACAACATGACCACGATTTGCACAGACCATTTCCCCTATTATTTTCTCTTTTTTTTTTATAATGTTTATATAAAATTTTTTTTAAAAGAATGTTTGATATGAGGTGATTTATTTGAAAATTACAATAATATGCATTCAATTATTATATCATCTTATTGGGTAACAATTTAGAAATCCTACGTGGCATTGATTCTAAATCATTATGGTGACAAGATCATCACCTTAAAAGAGAGTTGATTCCGATAAAAAATTTTATATTCATGAAAAAGTAATCTTCAATATTATTTTTTGATTAATTTATCTTCATGAAAAATATAGTTAACATTATCTCAAAATTTTGACTATTAAAAATTAAAAAAAATTTGTTAATCACTTATTCTAAAAAATTTTATGTTATAAATTTATATTAACTAGAAAAAAGATAATGAATTTATTTAATAAATTTAAAAAATATATTTCTTTAAAATTGATTTATACTTTGTAATTTTTTATAAAATAATGTTTAATTATTTTATAAATTATTAATTCAATAAGTATTAAATATTTTATTTTTTTTCAAGGTTATTTTAAATATTTTGTACTATATGATTTATTTTTTCACATAATATCAAGCATATTGATTAAAAATACTAGTGATTTATAATATTGTATTAAACATAAAAATTTAAAATCACTGGTGATCAAATCACCTAAGTTATCTTATCACAACAGTATTTAAATCATCACAATAATTTTAAACTTAAACTTGCGAGATATCTTTTATATGATAAAATTATAAAATTTTTAAATAAAAACAAATAATATTTCACAAATTAAATATGAATCTCCACATTTCTATCCAAAATTACCCTTAACAAAAATAAATTTAGTGATAGAACTAAGTTTTTGTATAAAAAACTCCTTAAATAATCTTTTTATAAAAATATTAACCCCAAACCTTAAAATATAAAAAAATTATTTAAAGTATTTTCTGTATAAAAACGTCTTAAATAATTTTTTTATACAAATATAAATTAATTATTTAAGGTATTTTTCTATACAAAAATACCTCAAATAATATATTTGTAAAAATATAAAATAATTATTTAATGCATTTTTTCATGCCAAACATCTTAATTATAATATAAAAAATATCTTTTATACGATAAAATTATAAAATTTTTGAATAAAAATAAATAATATGTCATAAGTTAAATATGAATCTCTACATTTTTATCCAAAATTACCCTTAATAAACATAAATTTAGTGCCAGAACTAAGCATTTCGATACACTAACATCGTATTGAAAAATGAAAATCTTTTAAGCAATAGATTTGAATTTGAGGTAAAAAAGAAGGTCATCTCGCCATTGTTGAAATGAATTAGTGCAGCTGATTTAGCTAATATGGACAGGACAACTTTAACAATATCGTTAGATTGTGATTTAATTAGTATAAACCTTGTCCAGACTTTGAATTTGGTGGAGCGTGCGCAATCGTTTTTTTGGGGGAAAAAAAAGCCATACTTTGGCTGTCTTCCAACCGAAAAATTGAAAAATATTGTGAGTTGTGATATCTTAACATAGTAAATCCAAATCTTGTAAACAATGAAAGAACATAAAAGTGGGAAAACCGTCGAAAATCAGAGTGTTGAAGATTTTGGCATTTTGTTTGTTCGTAACCCCACCCTCACTTAAAATTAATTTAGTCCTAAATTTTTATAATATTTTTAACTTTTAAAAATAATTTTAAAAGTATATACATAATTATTAAAATTAAATTGAACAATTAACTATTTAAAATATCATATTATTAGATAATGATAGTTCAACCATTAATCATTAAAATTAATTATGAGATTAATAAAAATATTTAAAATATAAATATTTTAAAATTTTAATTTATTATCCAACACTGACAAATTTGTACATCCATTAAGGACCACAATTTTACAACCTTTTTTTTTTTTTCCTTGCTAAACAAAGCATCAAGTCTGGTTTGCTATTGCTCTCATCATTAAAATGTGAATGCCGAAAATATAGCGCATTTAATTTCCATGAAAATTATAATTGTGATTCAACAGATTCCGAGTTCCGACCCCACCAATTCAAAAGTTTGGAGCAATCATCTATAAAATGACATTTGGGCTTTTCCCTCTTTTTTTTCTTCCATTTGTTTCATGCATTCATTCATCTAACGAGATTATCGCCGTTCACTTCGATACTCAAATGTCAAAATTGGATGATACAAACAAAAATCTCCCTACCCTTTTCGTAGAAAATTTAGGGTTTCACTCTGTCAATCAATTTTTTGGTTTCCTAGTTTTTTCTCACAGGAATTTTGAAACACTTTCAACTTTCTCAAATTTCGAACCAAGCTCGAGAGAGAAAGTGGTTCGCAATTTTACGATTCGTTTTTTTTTTTTTTTTGTTGTTGTTTGTCTGGTTAGTTTACTGGCCTAAAGCAACAACGACAAATCGATTTTTTAAGAAAAGATACGGAATAAGAAATCTAAAATTTCAAGATCAGATAAATAAAGATAGAAGGAAAAAAAAATGGTTGAAACGTTGATTTTTTAAGTGCCGCAGATTTGCAGAGAAAATTTGGGTGAAAAATGGAGATGGAGGAGTTTTTTTCCATCGAAGAACCACTTGAGGTGGAAGAATGTTTTGATATTAAATACGAATTTGATGCACAGCAATGGTTTGATTTCAACCAGCTAGAAACGGAGTGGGAGGCTAAAGAAGCCGAGCTCTGGTTCCAATCAGCTGGAAGCTATCCGCCTTCGCGTAAGCCTTTTCCTATATTATTGATCGAATCGTTATAGCTTTTCAATTTTTATGGTAAACTCTAATAGGAATCTTATGGAGTTTGTTTTATTAATTTTCAGCTTTTGCAATCAAGTTGAACTGGAGCTATGATATTAATGGTGATGAAGAATTTGGCAATGGTTCAATAGATTTCGATGACAGAGGTACATTGATTCTTGTCTTTATTATTTTAGAACTTTTCTAATTGGTAGAGTTGACTGTGGCTATTCTTTTCTAGTTGGAATTTTTTTTTTTAATGTCAAGAATTACCCTATGAAATATTCAATGTGTACTTGAACTTTAAAAATCTCTAACATAATAACTAAACTATAAATCTGATAACTATGGTACTTGAAAGGTTGTTTGTCAGACACGTATAATCATTTGAAGCTAGCAACATGAAGGATGAGTATCACATTAGTTAATAAATTCATAATTCAAATGCCACATTAGATATGTTTAAAGTTTTGAACATTTCACTATAATTTAAGGGCAATTCATGGCATTAATTATTTTTAACCTAAAAAGACTTATTCAATAAAGAAAAAGAACCCACGAAACGCTTTAATATTCTTTTTAATGTTTTTTCCTCCCTTTTTACTCATGGATTAGAAGCATGCAATTGCTATGGTGAAGATAATCTGAGGGCTAAAACCAATTCTCGGGTCAAGCCATCTCTCTCTAGGAGCTCAACTTTGATGAAACCTACAGCAAGTTACTTGGCCAAGCAAAATCAATCTCGAGCCGTTCATTCCAACCAGCTTCACAGAAGGTTTTACTCTATTATAATTAGATACCATTTGAATGGTGACACCGGTAGTTAAAACTCACTTTTCATATAAATTCTGGCCCCAAATTCAAGGGTTAATTCTCTTTTCGAGACATGAAAAATTAAAAGATTGTTATTCACTAGTTCCTTTACGTCACAGGTTGCAAAAGTCCTTAGACAGACTTGATGATAGGAGTGCAAAGAGTTCTTCTGTAACTGAAGTGATTGCTACCAAAAGACAAAAGCTGGAAGCTGGATACATATCCAAGGTGCACTCAATTATGTTATTTGATATATGATTGGACCTCATTTTCCCTGTAGTTGTGGTCCAAAGAATTGCTCTAATTCATTAGCTTTATAGAACCGGACCAATCATATTCATATGTGAGAATGTGTAAGTCTACCGCCTATAGCTATAATTTTCCATGTGGTGTTGAAAAAGGAAATATTCAGAGTGGTCAAATTTCGAGGAAGCAATATCCCTCAATGAATATGTTATGACCAAAGAGTATTTTGTAACTCAAGCAGTGATTTGGCTTATGATTTGGTTATTCCCCTTCTCTTTTAGCTGTATATTTCATGACATACACCAATGTTCTGCTTTGATTGTTTGTTTGTTTGAGATTACATGTTATTGCACCATTATTTTTGGTTTTATTGAAACTGCATATAGAGCTCAGATTTTGTTTGCTAAACTTTGGATTGTGGCCCTACAAGATATTCCATTATCAATTCTTTTTTTTTTTTTGGCAAAACAGGTTGCTCATTTGAAGCATCAAGCTCTTTTTGTGCACAAGAAACCTAAAACTGTAAGTTGTTGAATTAAGAAAAGTTCCTTTTCCATTACTTAATGCTAATATTCAACAGTAAATTTTTTGTTGCTGATTTTCTATGGCTTATTCAAATATAACATCACCACATTTGTAGTGCATGTTTGTTGGTACAGTAAATCTGTAATAACTAACAACAGATCAAGTTAACATTATCAGCATTGTCGATGAAGTTTTCTAACAACTTTGAGATTGTCATGCAGGCCCTCTCCCTTGATGGTAACTCAGTATGTGCTAAACCTAAAGTTACAATTCCAAGAGAACCAGAGCTACAAACTGCAAGAAGGGCTCAGAGACATAGGTAGTATTGACTTCATATCATTCTCCTCTGTCATTCATCTAGAGATTAAGTTGTTGTGCTTTGGCTACAAAGCTGATATAGCCAGATGTTGACAATTTCAGGTCTAATGTCAAGCCAGAGTCAGATGAAAATGCAAAATCAAATGTTCACTTCTTTAAAGCACTTCCCTTGAACAAAAAAGTTGGTACTTTTAGTGTATAAAAGTTATTTTTACCTGAATTTTGTTGGAACATAAAATTTTATAGATGTTTTAGGTATGTTTGATGCTGAATGTGTATTCTCACTAATTTCTTTGGGCTTGATAGATTCTTGAGGCTCCTTCATTTCCCCTTCACAAGAAAAGCCTGCCTCAACCACGGGAGTTTCAGGTAATAGCTGAACACGGCAACTTACTAGTCCGTCTCTCTTATGAATGCCTTTCTTGTTATTGTCTTCAGAAATTTCCTGAGTGAACCTTTTTTGGATAACTGTATGACACAGATTGTATTTTGTTTCATTGCTTTAGTTGTTTCACCTGAGGACATCGGAAAGAGCCAGGCAGCATGCATCAAACAATGTGGGTTATTAAAATGTTATTTATTAGCTCTTATATTATATTAAGTGTTCTCTCAAGTCTTCTGGTACCTAGCATTACTTTTTTGATTGTCAGGAGTTAATAATGTCCTCTTTGCAGGCAATGAAACTACCAAATTATGTTTCAACTTCAAGAAAGGAAAATACAGGCCTCATCAGAAGGTAATAGGGCTTTGGCTTTTATCATCAATTAGTTTTTATCCTTTAAAACTTTTGCATTTGTTCCAAAACTTAATATTCTTTTTCCCCATGGTGAATAATCACTTGGTTCACAGCCAAATTCATGGTTATTCTATTGATACATATGTGCTTAAACTTTTCAATATATATCCATTGAAATGATTTCAACTGATTGACGTAGTTTTTTTTTTTTCCTTCATTTTTGAGAATAGCTTCAACTCTGGCAATGCTTTAAAGGAGGAGAAATCTGAAGCTGTTAATAAATTTAAAGCTTGTCCTCTTAATAAGAAGGTTCTGCATATATATTGGTTGTTCCTTGTCACAGAGATCTAATTTTTTTTAAATAAGTATCACTGCTCAACCATTTTGTTGGGTTTTCAGATAATTTCAAGTAAAGGAGAAAATGGTATTCCCCTGAATATGAAGGAAACAACAGCCACAATTGTAATTCTCACAACTCCTTGGTAGAGTCATATATATTTTCATTTGATATTCAGAGATTTTTTTTCTCTATTAACACCAATAAAGCCTTTACTTTCTCCAGGAATTCAAGTTTTTAAGAGACAGGAGGCTTCCAGATGAACCACCAATAGAATTATTCAATAAGGTATTGCATCTTACTTCTCGCGAGCTTTATTCAGGAGCCACCTATAGCATCAATTAAAAGGCTTTCCAAATGAACCATGTAAAAAGCTTTCAGAATAATTCACATCTAAACCATCCTTAATTGAATTGCTCAATCTGCTCCTAGTTTGGGTGTGTTAATATTTCACTGCTCTCTCGCATGATATGTAACCAGCTCTCTGTGTCATCTGAAGTTCATTCTGGTGAAAAATCTGGAGCAAAAATGGCTATTTCCGAGGTTTGTTCCCTCAAACTTCTAATTTTTGGGGTCTAAAACATGTATATATAATATACATCATTTTCTTAGTAAGTTCTTCCACTTGTTGAATTAAGGGATTCAAAGAGAATGAGCCAGGTCCTTTCCTTCTGCAGTGTCAGGTACATTAATTGATGTTTACATGCGCCACTAGATCACAGTACTGAACTGAACTAATTTGATAGATCTTCCTTCCTTTTCTGTGTTAACTTTAGGTTTAAAACATCCAACTTGTAGATTATGAATGTGGCCAAAGAAAATTCACAAAGGAATGGAGGGATGCAGTATCAGTGTAGGAGTGACAGAGCTACTGAAATTGGGCAACCACTGAACATTAAGAGGTATAACCAATTTTAAACCTAGTCTTATTTGACGTGGTTGATCTTTGCCCTACTTAAGTCAGAAACTTTGATCTTTTGGTTTTCTTCTCCTTTTGTGCTATAAACTCCTGGCTCCAACATGTTCAACTTTTGCCACTCTGTATTTGAGAATAATGGCATTGTTGGTTAAAATTATGCCGGTGTTTCTAGTTAAGCTAGATGGAATTAAGAATTAAACACAACTAGCCTGTTAAAAGAAAAATTGTTCTGTTTTGATTTTTTAAATTCTAATCCTGCTAAAAACTTTTATATATGGAACAGGTAAGATATCTGACTCTCTTTTGAGTTCTTCGAATTTCGAGAAATAAGTCCGTGTAAACACTGCCGATGACTTATTTAGCGTAAGACTTTCTAATGTGACCTAGATGTCTTTGGTTGGTTGCTATATGAAAACGAAGCACTTGTAGCTTATTGTCTTTAGGCAGATAGGCTGTCACAACTCAAAAGTACTTGTTATATTAAAACCAAGAAACAAATTAAAAAAAGCCACTAATCAAACAAATGAGAGGGGGTATGCTAAATTCTTTTGCAAGAGAGCATAAGAGAAATGCCTTTCTTTTGGTTGCGGGGAGGGTTGAAGTGCTCAAAGCGAACATGATAGCTTTGAAGTCGGCCATTAACCCAGGTGTTTCTGATCTATGGTTAAAAGTAAATCATTTCTCTTCATAACTCCTTAATAACACATCATTTTCAGCTACTATCATTAACATGGATATCTTTGACGTATTTCTTGATATATAGACATTCTGATGGATAATAGAATGTAGATGATAAGGGTTTCTGAAAACATGGCATTTTACAAAAAAGGATGTAATAATTTATTGCCTGTTGTTCAATAATATTCTGAATGGTTCTTGTGACAGGAGCTTGGGATTGGACATAGTCTGAAGTCTGAAGTCATTTTGGTGGTTACATTTGTCTTTCTTGCCATACGTATTCCGCAGGCAAATTTTGGGGGAGAAATAGATATTTCTTTTTTAATAATGGAATAGTTTTTATTCGTTACAAGAAAAGAAAAAAAAAAAGATTTTGAACGATAGCAAAATGTACAGAAATTCTTAAAATTGTAGTTAGCTTTTGTCATGCTTTCCAACAAAAAGTTGCCATTGCATAGCAAATGTAATTGTCAACCATTATGAAAGCTGAAAATGTTGTCAATGTTTTCTTCGTTTTTCTAGATGTCAAAATTTGAGCAGACTCATAAAGTACCCCTCGCTGGACCATCAATTCAAGGAATCTCATGATTGTAGGCGAGGGCAAACAAACAAAACACCATTGTATTCTTTTTAAGTTTTCATCTCTGGCCCTTCTAAAATTTACATTCAATTCTAGTGTGTCGGAAAATTGGAAAGTAAAAAACAAGAACTGGAACATATGAGTAAACTATAATATGACTTTCCAGAGTGATTTTGTCGATTCATCTCACAGAGATGAGCCCACCACCGTCATCCCTTAGGACTGGCTGGGGCCAGTTGGTACATGGACAGAACAGACGCACGAATAGAGACGACACACCGCTTGGATTATTTGGAAGACAGTTTTTAAATGGTTTGAGGCGACAAAAATGACCAGAACAATCAAAATTACAAATATAATTTTTGTAGCAGAACCATTTAAGGAGTTTTTCCATATCATATGCATTATGAAGCGAGAACTGATCCATAAAGTCCCGAGCCTATAACATAAAGCTTACACTGCAATTGTACGTATCGATACTAACGATTTACAGAACAAAATAGATACTCCGACAAGTTTTCTAGAAAATTACTTGTGCAAAAGGATAATCTCTAACCCCGTGAATCTCATAACTGAAAGGATGTCTACATAAAACATCCAAAACAAAAATCCACATTGATGGAACCTACGATTATATATTTCACACCATCTGGGGGCAAAATAGCCACTCCAAACCAAAAACCGTGACTCATTTAATTACCTTCTCTTCTTACTCTTTCTGAATGAAAAACAAAGATGGCTTTAAAGGGTGTTCTTTGATATTACTTCTCGGAACCGAACAAACCACTGAGCATCAGATGAGTTGGTCTCCTGCTGAACTGGATGCTGTTGCTGCTCCAATTTTGATAGCTGCTGTCCTTTGTCAATAACAAATTGGGCATAGTCAATTGACTTGGTTGGAGCTGAAGAAAGTTTAGCGGGAGGAGCTGGAACCAAGGAGACCAAAACCCTGGCAACCTCATGCATGGTTGGTCTCTCGGAAGGGTGTCGCTTTGTGCACAGCAAAGCAAGTTGGAAGGTCTTTCTGACATGGGCTAAATCCGTGCATGTAACTGAGACTTCTGGATCAACAGCTTCCATCACAGTATCATCATCAGCCTTTGACAGTATCTGAACCAAAATAAACAGGCAAGATAATAAAATTTTCAACGACTTTACTAATGTTCTTAGTTTTAACAGCGTCTATCATATCAGAAAAGCAGAGACATTCAATTTTCAGAATTTCTGCAATTAGAAAACTATTTTTAATCTTTATACATGTGATCTGAAAAGAACCGGATAAGCATCAAGCCATGTAAAGCACCATCAAAAGATCTCGTCTGGTGGAGATTTGAGAAAAAGAATAATCATCTACATCAGTCAAATTAAAAATCAGTAAAATCAACATCACACCCAAAATTATATCGAGCACATTCTAACACTCTAATCAACATAGCATGGTAAAACAGAAATTATCATAATTAAGGGTAATGCAATTTAATTGCACCTGGCTATACTTTTAACAGAATCTTTCAAGCATCTATTACGAAGCAATTGACCACACATGATAAATAAAACGCACCAGTTGATGCAAGTTTGATTCATTGTCCACAGCCTTTTTCCCTGTCAGAAGCTCTAGAAGTACAATGCCAAAGCTATAAACATCTGATTTTTCATTAAGACGAGAAGTGCGGGCATATTCTGGGTCAATATATCCAATGGTTCCCAGAACATATGTAGAGGCATGAGTCTTCGTTGTTGGTATGCATTTTGCAATCCCGAAATCAGAGAGATGAGCCTCAAAATTCTCATCAAGCAGAATATTCGAGGATTTGATATCCCTGTGAACAATTCGTGGGTTGCAATCATGGTGAAGATAAGCAAGACCCTGAGCTGCTCCAACAGCAATTTTCAACCGTGTTTCCCAGTCGAGTTTTACCTTTTTTGATGGCCCTGTCGCATGTTAACTAACATAAATCAGTACTTGCTAGACAACAAAAGATACTCAAAAGTACTACCATGAAAAATATTAAAAGCTACAGCAATAATTATTTACATTTAACACTAAATTTTATATGTTGAAATTACAAGTAATCTATACCAAAAATGGCTTATATCTTAGGAAGCTCAAGGCATGTCAACTAACCATGCAAAAGATCCCACAGAGAGCCATTCTCCATATAGTCATAGAACAGGAGGTTCCCATATGGAGATAATGAGTAGCCATGCAAGCTGACAATGTTCCTATGTCTGATGCTGCCGATGGTTTCAAGTTCAGTCTCAAACTCCCTCAAGTTGTTTGCACACTGATTGTAGAGTCGCTTAATCGCAATTGGTCGGGAATTTTTCAACACACATTTGTAAACTGTGCTAGATGCACCATACCCTATAATATACTTATTGCTCAAATTCTCAGTGAATCTCATTATATCCTCAAAGGTATGAATAGCCATATCCATGTGGAGAACTACTAGCTTCGGTGGACCTGAGGAAAACAAGACTTCAGATTTGCAGAAATAGGAAAGGGTATGTTGCTCAATCTAAAAGAAACATATACCTTCCACAGTTTTCATAGGTCCCTTCATCATTTGCTTCTGTTGGATGGACTTGTATGTTGCAACAATAATCATAGCAACCAATGCAAAGAAGCCCAATGTCATACAAACAACTGCAGCCCTGGAGAAAACTGTTGAAGAATTGAAAGCAAGAAAATTTACTAAAAAAAATTCCAACTTACTCCAGTGACATCTCAAGTACGAAATATAAATCCCAAGGACTAGGCTGATACCTCTAGACTTTGGCAGAGAGGGGCCACATATTGAACCCAGCCAATTTCCACATAGCAATGGATTTCCAATGAAACTGAGCCACATATAAGTCAACAAAGGAGCAAATTTAAGAGGGTTAAAAACAATGGAAAAGAATATAATCGCATACCTATCTGATGAAAATCTGGTGAAGTTTCTTATGCCAGGTATGACGCCAGATAAATTATTATAGGAGACATTCCTGGCACAGATATAAACATTCAGAAACCAGTCTTAATATATTTACCTATGAACTAAAGAGAGAAACAGAACAAAATCTTACAGATTAGAAAGACTGAAACAATTCGTAAGCTGCTCTGGAATTTCACCTTGCAGCTTGTTGTTCCTTAGTATTCTGTCATAAAAACCCATAGCATTATGCCATCACATTCTACAATTCCAAACTTCAAATATATTTGTCAAGCACCAGACACTTACAGAGAAACAATATTTTGTAACTGACCCAGTTCTGGAGGAATGTTGCCAGAGAGACTATTGAAAGAGAGATCACTGCGAAGGAGCAGGTAAGAGTTAATCAGAGGCAACAAAAAAT